GTTAAAATATCATCCTAAAGTAATTTTGTTGAGCTAAGCATTCATCTCGACTGAGGTGCAGGCATCACAGGCACCTGGAAAGTGGGGCAGCTCCAGCTCGGGGATGAGACCTGAGGTGCGGGACGAACCAAGGAACAAAATCGGATACACTCAAAACTCGATCTGGATGATTACAGTACCTGGATATACCTGGATGATCTTGTTCATCCACTTATACTTCTTTGTTATATAGTCCTCAAGAGGGATGCAATTCTTTTTTGACTTTCTATCTCTCTCCCTCTCCATCTGTATTTTGGCTCCAATACTTCCTTTTGGACTTGTTCTTCAACAGTGTACGATGATTTTTGCAGCGATGAATTGTTCGTGGTATCCCTTTCAAGATCTTCCCTCAGGCAGCCTGGAAGGACTACAGCTGGGCCCAGGAGCGTGGAGAGTCGAGAAACGCAGATGTAGAGATTTAGATTTAGATTCGGTTGAATCTCAGATGATTCTCAGAGATTCTCAGAGTCTACATCCTAATCCAACACGGCTCAGGAGATGGGCCTTTCCGCTTCACAAGCTTCTGGCGGTCAAGCGCCAGACCGCCAATGGCCTAATGTGCTGTGCTATTCAGTTTTCAAAATATAGCCAGGGTAGCGACAGTGTGTGCCTGTCTGAGCCGCCCAGGTCTTCCTCCCTTCCGAAATGATTTGTGCCTTGGCGCGTTGGGAATTCTTGAACGAGAACAAGATGTTATTTCTGGGAGTGGCACAAAACAAGATTTAGTTTTGCAAAGTTTACTAAAGTCTAGAAAGGCCCAGCAAGGCCCTTAGTTCAGACTGATTCAGACCCCAGCGAGGCAGGGGAACTGCTCCAACTGAGGTCATCGCAGTATCCGTCACGCAGCATGAACGTTCCGCCACAGTTCCTGCCGCAGTCTGCACCACATCTGCAGCCAGGACCCTAGGGTCCGACCACTTAAGTCTTCCAAGGCCTATCCGGTCTTGGCCAAACAAGAACAACTTTAGAGAGGAATATATGTAGATAGATAGATACTTAGATTGATAGATAGACAGATAGACAGATAGACAGAGATAGATAGACAGAGATAGATAGACAGACAGATAGATAGATAGATAGACAGATAGACCGATAGACAGAGATAGATAGACAGAGATAGATAGACAGACAGATAGATAGACAGATGGACAGATAGACAAATAGACAGCTAGACAGATAGACCGATAGACAGATAGACAGATAGACAGATAGACAGATGGACAGATAGACAGAGATAGATAGACAGATAGATAGGTAGACAGATAGACCGATAGACAGATAGACCGATAGACAGATAGACAGGTAGACAGATAGACAGATGGACAGATAGACAAATAGACAGCTAGACAGATAGACAGATAGACAGAAAGACAGATAGACATATAGGCAGATAGACAGACAGCAGGTAGATAGATAGATAGATTAGATAGATTAGAAAGATTAGAAAGATTAGATAGATTAGATAGATTAGATAGATCAGATTAGTTCAGATTCGATGAGATAAGATGAGATAAGACGAGATTGAAAAACATTAGATAAGATTATATAAGATTAATGAAATATGATAAGATTAGATTAGATAAGATTAGATGAGATAGATTAGATAGATGAGATAGATTTTAAAAGAAGATAGATGAGATAGATGATATTGATGAGATAGATTAGAAAGATGAGATAGATTAGATAGATGAGATAGATTAGATAGATTAGATAGATTAGATAGTTTAGATAGAGAAGATAGAGAAGATAGATTAGATAGATTGTATAGATTAGATAGATTAGATATATTAATATATTAGATATATTAGATAGATAGAAAGAAAGATAGATAGATAGATAGACTAGATAGGATAGATAGGATAGATAGAATAGATAGAATATATAGACTGGACCTGGATAGAATAGATAGAAAAGATAGAATAGATAGAATAGATAGCATAGATAGAATAGATGGTTAGATAGATTAAATAGATTAGACAGATTAGATAGATTAGATAGATCAGATAGATCAGATTGATCAGATGGATCAGATGGATCAGATAGATCAGATGGATCAGATGGATTAGATCGATCAGATAGATCAGATAGATTAGATAGATTAGATAGATTAGATAGATGAGATATATGAGACAGATGAGATAGATGAGAAAGATGAAATAGATGAGATAGATGAGACAGATAAGATAGAAAAGATAGAAAGGATCGATACGATAGATAGATAGATAGATAAGATAAGATTAGATTAGATTAGATTAGAATAGATAGATAGATAGATAGGACAAGATGAGATAAGATAAGATAAGGTAGATACGATAGATAAGATAGAAAAGATAAAGAGATTAGATAGATAGATTAGATCGATCGGATAGATAGATAGATAGTTAGATAGATAGATAGATAGAAAGATAAGAACAGATAAGAGCAGATAAGATAAGATAAGGTAAGGTAAGGTAAGATAAGATAGATAGATAGATAGATAGATAGATAGATAGATAGATCGATCGATAGATAGATAGATAGATAGATCGATAGATAGATCGATAGATCGATAGATCGATAGATAGATCGATAGATCGATAGATCGATAGATCGATAGATCGATAGATTGATAGATCGATAGATCGATAGATCGATAGAAAGATAGATAGATAGATAGATAGAATAGATAGAATAGATAGCATAGATAGCATAGATAGAATAGATAGAATAGATAGAATAGATAGAATAGATAGAATAGATAGAATAGATAGAATATATAGAATAGATAGAATCGATAGAATCGATAGAATAAATAGAATAGATAGAATAAATAGAATAGATCGAATAGATATAAGAGATAGAATAGATAAAATATATTGTTAGATAGATTGTTAGATAGATTGTGAGATAGAATAGATAGATTAGATAGATTAGATAGGTTAGATAGGTTAGATAGATTAAATCGATTAGATCGATTAGATTGATTAGATCGATTAGATAGGTTAGATAGATTAGATAGATTAGATAGAGTAGATAGATTATATAGGTTAGATAGATTAGATATATTAGATATATTAGATAGATTAGATAGATTAGATAGAGTAGATAGATTATATAGATTAGATAGATTATATAGATTAGATAGATTAGATAGATTAGATAGATTAGATAGATTAGATAGATTAGACAGATTAGATAGATAGATAGATAGATGGATGGATGAATGGATGGATGGATGGATGGATGGATAGACAGACAGATAAATAGAGAGAGAGAGAGACAGACAGACAGACAGACAGACAGACAGACGCACAATTGTTTACATACGCATCGCGCATATGTATACAGTCAAACCACACACACTGTAGACATGTATGTATAATTATGTATATATTTATATTATTTGGAAACACTTGTTGAAAGAAAGACAAGCAAAGATTGCTTCAGTGGGTTCGCTCCTAAGGCTGGGAAACCCGATTCAGCAGCAGCTCTTGGACCTTCAGCAGCCTGTCACAAGCCCGACTTTCTTTTAACGGGGATGCACATGATGCACCTCATCGGGACATGGACAGGTCTGCTTTGCGGGGCCGAATTGCCAACAATGTGCCGACATGGCGGGTCCTGCATATTTTTTGTGTCTGGTGGCTACTCATTGAGCCAGTGATTCAATAAATGGATCTTAGGATGGCAGCGGAAGGGGCGGCGAATCGATCCCCTGACCCACGGTTCAATCAACCACATACAGAGGACCGGCAATGTGATGTTAAGACGAATCGTATCGGAAAATTATCTTTGAATGTCTCTGCCGCATCGAGTGATCAAATTTACCAGGAGACTGAAACAAAAAACCAAACTTGGGGTTTGGGGACCATGCTAGCGGAGAACCGCTTCCTGCGAGGAGCTTTTGCGCTTGCAGCAGCAGGTCCTTAAGGGTCAAAGGGATGGCATGAGCTGGCAATATACCATGTTCCGAAACATGTTCGCTTTGGGTTCTTGAGAAAAACGCCAAATTGCGCCAAGACCTTGACGATCCTTCTAGTGCAAGCTGATTAAGGGTTCGCAACGATTGTGCGCCAGGTTCAGCAAAGACTACTGCAGGAACAACAGAGACAGCAACTTCTGCAACACCAACTGGAAGGCATCCCTCAGTGACTTGGCTGAAGCGCTCTTGTAAAGCCAGTATTGATCCTAGACGATCCTAGTATTGTATAGCCTAGTATACCTAGTATGTTTACAGTTGAACTTAGTTGAACCCAAGCACTACATGCAACCCCACTTAGAGCATGTTGGTGGCAGGACCACAAATCGAAAAGAACGTTTGGTTGAGGAAGCACTTCTAACAAGGGAAACATCGCAGAATAGAGGTGCCTAGCAAATTGTAGTTAATCAACTGACAGTGATTTTGCTGGTGCTGCTGAGCGGTTAAGTTAGATGTTAACCGGCTGTTGCTGAGTTGGTGCTATTTAACTCTTCAAGTCAACTGCAATCAACTATGATCAAGTCATGATGTATATTTCCAAAGTCGAGACACAATCCTCGGAGATGTTGGTTTCCAAAGTGCCCAAGGCAGTCATTTCCTCCGCAGCAGCCGAGGCCCCAAAAATATTGCCCCAATCATTAGCCAAGCACTGTAAACCCAAAACTGTGCAGCTGTCAGATCAGGCTTCAATATCTAAGCTGTTTGAATGTCTTGTCAAACCTTTCAGGTTTATAATTTATAACTGTTCAAGATGATCACCAACAACTGATGTTATACACACAGACGTGTGTGTACACGTACTCTGAATCCTGGTGCCAGTCATGAGAGGCCGGTCAGTTGAGCAGGTAGCATGGACATGGACTGAGGTTTCAACCACCATTGGTTCAAGACCCGGGCTTGGGGTTGCCACAATACTGGAACCAACATGCACCAGGCTGGGTGGATCGCGTTTTTCTTTTTGTTGTTTTCAGGCTTGGATCTCTATTGAGCTCCTGAAAAGACTGATAGTCGATTCACTTCAGACTATGCCTCCCTTGCGGCGTTTATCATCCAGGTGACGTGGACGCTGCACATGCTGGAAGGACACAGTCACAATTAGTCACTTTTAGTCACATAGTCTCTGCATACATAGTCTCTGCATAGATGTCTACGTGGTACAACGATGTACAACAATGTGCTTACAATACAACATCTTACGACACCAGGACGGGTTCAGGGGATCAGTTCCGGCCTCAGTCCGAAAGGCTCTAGTGTGTCGAGTCCAAAGAGCAAAGGAGACTTAAACTTACACTGTACTTATAACTTATATATATATATGCATCGATAATTTCAAGGGTGGTTTATTTAATTATTTCAATTCAATCAATCTCATTTTAACCATCAAAGTTGAATCAAAACACCGTAACATCTTTTGAGGACATGAGGCTGGGAACGCGTTTTTTACAGACTTTGCAGTTACAAAGACATCCTCAATATCCATGGCTAACACGGGCCGGCCTACGAATTTCAGCCACGTAACCTAGGCAGTCCTGTACGGGCGGCGAGGAGATTGACCAGGCAGAGTACCATGTTTCTTGCGGCGTCAAAGATGAAGTGATGTGCTGTTTTTTTCCTCGAACACTTTGGCTTCTGATTTCACATGGCAGGCTGGTGCGGCGGATGATAGCAGGGAAGCCCAAGTGGACATAGTGGACTGGTTTGCAACTTTTTAAGACAGCAATTTTGATCATGCTAAACGGATCTAAACGGTTTCAGGAAAAACATGCACCCTTTTCCCTCTGCAAAATCACAAAGGATCCATCGACCTCAATCCCAAAGGCCCTTGACTCGTCGACTTGTCAACTGAGTCAACTGCAATCTGAGGTTTGCACCTGGACCTCTTGCTGCGGGCCGGGTAAACAGGAATGATTTGTTGAGTGGCCAACTGCCGCCCGTTGCTTCGGGCGCAGACTTCAACTAAACATAACGAAACAACTTGTCGAATCATATTGGCATGTTGCAGGAAGGGCCAGTTTGGGAGCGCAGATAGGACTGTTGACTGTGTTGATATTTCTGTCTGCAATTATAGAACATACCTCAATTCTTGAATATATATTGAATATATTACAGATTCTTACAGTATATTCAAATATATTCAAGACCTGGACATTTTTTGTTGACCTCCAGACTCTCCACAGGCATCGGCCTCCAAAGCTCTGGATGCTCCAGAACCTCGGGCATTTGTTGGCCTGTGGGCCTGTGGCAAAGTAGTGGGTGTAACGGTGTAACTTGATGTCAGCATGCACAGGTCCGCCATTTTGCAAATCAAGATGCACTGATCTACGTGGACTGAACTGAAAGGGGGTCTAGGATGGCAAGACCTGTCATGGCATCAATTTTTCTCCGCCGCATCATGCCTTTGAGAATAGTATAGGCAACTAAACCCCATGGCAGGATGCATTTTGCAGTATTGACGAGAGTACATGTGGAGCGATACAAGAGACTTGAGTGGCTGATATCAAAATATGTAAATAGGGATAGCGAGGGATAGCGACGCTGTGAGATTTGAAGCCAAGGAGACAGCTGCTGCTGCTGCAGCCGCGGTGCAGACTCGTGCATCCAGGCCTTTGGGAACCTTTGGGAAGCTTCCTGCAAAATTGCGCTAGCACCAAGCTCGCTTTGGATGTGCTACGATCCTGCGCAGAACTCGCATTGAAAAGCATTTCTTGTGCCTTGCAACGCTTCGCTGAATCCTCCTCAGTAGAGTGCCTTGCCGATACGTCCGATACGTATTGAATCCTTTTTCCTTGGCAGGTTGGACAGGCCACGCAAATCTGCGAGTGCCTTCGTGTCGCTTGGCTGGGATTAAAACACAGAATTTGCATCCGCTGCATCCACCTTGGAACTTCCTGGGCCGTGAATTACTTGGGAAATGTGCCCAGACACTTTCGGACATGGTCAACCGAGGTCAACCCATTTGACATGTCATCAGGTTTTGGAGTCCTTTCTATTTACAATGCTAGAAACAGTAAGGCCCAAGAATTATGAGCAGAACTAGGACTAAAATGCCTAAAATCAGACCAATGTCAGGTCTTCCTTGGTAGCAGGAAAAACAACCCGGATGGAAAATTAAGAAAGAACATGCACAGCTCGAGCATCAGCGGCATCTCATGTCATGAGGACTTCTCCAGCCACTCTCCGCCGTGATGACGAAGAGTTGCAATGCTCCCAGCGTGAAAGGATCTGAAAGGTTCCGAAAGGCTTCACTCTTGTGCTTGGCTGGGAAGACACTCACAGACACCATGATCACGAGAAATGAGTGGACAGCAGACATTTGCAGACTTGTTGAGGTGTCATGCCTCCAAGTTCGATGTGGGCTCCCTCTACCAAGCGACATCCTTCCTACCTTCCTTCGAGGCGCTTGCATGGCTGGCATTCGAAACTGTTGCGGATTAAAGTATTTGACACTCTTGAAGCCTGTCGACAAGATGCAATGGCGGAACATGGCGGAACCGTTTGAAGACCTTCACCTCAAACTCGTCATGTCTTGAGCATGCGTGAACCATTGTAGTTGAATGTAGTTGATCGTTCAATGAATTTGGTCAAGTGCTTCTTGAAATTCAGCGAAACTAGAGCTGAAATGTCGAGGGAAACTGTCTCATGTCAGGGGCACATTGAGTCCCTGCAGAACGACCGCAACTGCTTGCTGGTGTGCCGTGTAAGATGTGTTTGGCAGGGCGCTTCATATCCAGAAAAGATTATGGCTATGTTCTACAGTCTTTTTGTATCTTTTTGTGTGCAACGAACATCCTTTTGATATAAGATATTTTGATATATTTTGCGGATTCAAGGTGATTTCAGTGATTTCACAAAGCGCGAGGTTGTACTGCTGCTTGACTCTGAGGTACATTTTGCAAACGGCAGAATACTTTTCTCAAATGTGTCTTGGCTGCCTTTTGACGCGTCCTGGCTCGCGTAGTTGCTTACCGGAGGGTAACCATTGTAAATCTTCTCCAGAATCTACATGAAAGACATAACCCAAGCACAAAACATGGTCAGTTGGATTCATCCGAAGTGGCAAGTCAATAGACATATTGGAAATGAAACCTCCAACAGGTCTGAACCCAAACACTGTATGTCACTTCATGCGGCCCCACAATTGGACCGAAAGTGTTGGCGGTGCTGCTCCAGACCTGCAGCCAGAACAAGTGGTCCTGGTGGTCGATTCTTCCCCACATATCTATGTCTATATATGTGTTATTAATTGTGTTATTATATATGTATAAATTATGTATATATAGATGTGGATGATGTGGCATATGGCAGACTGAACCCATTCAAATCCATTCCTCACCGAGGCTTGCTGTGATCGTCTCTTCAGCGTTTTGACCCCCTTGCGACACCGGGTCCGCCGTCATGTTTTGCCCCAGAAGTGAACCGCCTGGTGACTGGGAATTTATGCTGGGTATATCATGGTTATAGTGGATATAATGGGTATAATCCAGTCATGGAATATTCAGATGCCAGATGGTGTTTGATATTTCACTTTTGAAATCGACGCCAGGAAATTACCGAGATCATTGCTGAAGAAGATAGCTGAATCCTCAGTATCCGATGACTGGGCCTGCCTTGCAGTCTTGCATTTCTTTCTGGTACTCACTTGGGAAACGTGTTTGCTCGTTTGATGACGACTCAAAGCATTCAGGAGTGAACTTCTCTTCGCGAATCATGTATCTCAGTATTGGAAAATTTACTGTCAGCATCTCAGACAAGACTGTCAAGCCGCGACATTTATGAACATGGAAACATTGACTTCAGAGCCTCCAAGTTGTTTTGTAGGCATGGATTTCATCGATTTCCATTATTTGGGCGCCTTGGGCCTTGGGCTCACTTCCTGGCCTTTCGGCAACGCGCTGGCTGCAGGTTATGGAGAAAACAACTTTCAACATCATCACAGTGCAGACCCAAGTAGAATCCATAAGGACATGATTTGTCAACCCCCGAATGATCCCAATGATCGCTTTCGGAAGGGGCAAGACTCCTTCACTTTCAGACTTTGCTACAATTTTATCTATGTTCAACTTGCGACAACTCCTTACTTGGTGAGAGTTTGAGAAAGAACAAGCATCGTTAAAAGGCTCAATGCATGCCTGCCCTCTGCATTCTTTTCTTGCAGTGGTGTCATGATATGACTCATAGAGAGATCTTTGATCCGTGCCCTCAAGTAACATGCAATTTCGCTTTGAAAGCTCATCAACTGGTTTTGCACTGAGGCAAAGGGAGTAGTTCCCGCCAATATTTGCGGAGAACACCTCATGGGCAGCGTGTCGGAGAACCTAGAGAGCTGTAAGGAAACAAGAAATTCCAGGATTGTGGGCTTCATAGGGCTCACCTGCACGAAACGCCAAAGCTCGGGCTGTTGGGCACAGCAGAAGGCTGTCCAGTTGTTCCAGGCCTTCTCTCAACAATAAACGGAGATGCGCCATTCCTTCTCCGCAATCTTATTTGGCCCTTTGAATCTGTTAGTGAGGTGGTGGATGGATTGCGAGCTGATTGAAGACCAGGACTAGTGATTTGTGCCCATTCTTGATAGCTGCACTTGGAAACTTCAGGTTTGCCTTCACACATAGTCAGCATAGCTGAAGCATGTTGGAATGGCAGTGGAGAGTTGAGATATGTTGAGATTTTCTTGATTTGTCTGTCAGGAGCCAGGAGATGTTTTGCCCTCACCCGCAGCGCACGGACATCTCCCGTTGCAAGGACTGGGCCCCTGTTTGCTTCACAGGGTTCCACAAAAATCTGACGGTCAATCCTAATTCTGTGGACTTGCTTAATTGTTTTTGGAACCCTAAGCCTGAATTCTATCAGCAGAAGCAATATCGACTAGTTCCCTGCATTTGCCTGGACACTGGGAGTCACTCTTTCCAGGGACGTTTTATACGTATTGCAAACATTGAGCCGACATCCTGTTCTATCAAAGGGAACGCTTTTGGTCGGCGGGAAAAATATTGCTTGGATAGACAAATTGTGAACAAGTGCAAACTGCAGGATAAATGCTGCCAGCGCAGAAGAGGAACGAGATCCTAATGATGCCTTGGGTGAACTCAGCGTGTATCACATGCATGCAGTTTCTCAATCTCCGAATTCGGAAGCTCTTCAAACTTCTGCAAGTTTTGATATTTTCAGTAGTTTTTGAGAGTTTGAGTTGGAACTCCTTTGAACGAGCATGCGCGATGATCCAACGCTGTTGGAACTTCTGGTCGCAAAAGGACCAGAGTTGTACATTCGGCACCTGAGATGTTCCAATGAATAGCCACAGAAAACGATTCTTTTTAATTGCTTCCAGTTTGTTTCCAAGGTGTCTTCTTAGCATCCGCTGGCCGGACAACGAATCCGCAACTTTAAAAGATCTTTGTTCCGTCCATCATGTATGGAGCATTTGCAGAGCAAGTGCTGTATGCCCGACGTGTCCACAGCGGGATTTTCTCCCTCGGGAAAATAGGTGGCGAGTGAGAAGTCAATACAACTCCAGGTTAGAACAGGCTTTTTTCAATTCCAGGAGCACCGCGGAACATGCCTTTCGCTTGAAATTCATGCTTTCAGTATCTTTCAGTGGGAAACTCTGATACCAAAGCATTGTAAAGGCGGTAAAGGTAGGATGTTCAACATTATTCAACATTCTTGAACTGTGCACGAAGGCGCCACGCTGCCGTCGCTGTTCAGCTGCCACCTCCACCAGGTGCGCGGCGCTGGAAGATTCGCGGCCAAAATTGTTGGACCCCAAAATGGATGGTTTGCATTTTACACATTTTTATGCGCTTCAAACATCTTAAAGAACTTAAAGACTTGACTTAAATATGACTTTGTAGATCCATTGCTTGCCCAGTTTTGACCCTATCTCACTTGTTTGGAAACACCTTTTGATTAAAAGACAACACATGTGAGGTTGTGGGTAGACCGCGTAGCCCGGGTAGACCATGATGAATTGTCCTCTCGGCCGCTTGGCCACCCTGTGCACTTCTCCCGTTTTTACTGCTTCAGTTGGCTCGGTTTCACAGCAGGCATTTTCCGTTTCCAACTTTTCCCATAGCCTTTTGCATCCTGACCTTTGCCCAAACGACTTTTGGCCAAAGATGCATTGGAATCATTGGGACATGTTGTTTTCTTCGACGGAATTTGTTTTTATGCTTTCAGCAAAATGTCCAGCGAATGAACCCGCCATGGGTACTAGCTTGATTGGCGCTAACAGTTCGGTTGGAGCCTTGGTGAGACTCCAATCTATTTGGGCGTAGCTTGCAGCAATGGTTGAAAATTCAAACAGCTGTGCAAATACCCGCAGAGAAATGTTTCGACAAGCGGTCTATCAAAGCATCCAAGATAATGCATTGTCTTACTAATTACCCACTATCCAAGGATCACCAAATTGCTTTCTCCAAAAAGCAGGGAATCCAATTGGAATGCATTGAGCTTATTTGTTCCTTCAAGAGTCTCACCACAACTATCCAAAACTAAGAAGAATGTTTTGAACGTTGCCCAAGGGTGAGCGGCATGCGTAACATAGCACTCTTGGAATGGGGTGCGGAGCCTGAGAAGTCATGCCAATGGGCCGCATAGGCCGATCCAGCAAAACACCACAGAGATTCTGCCTGCACTCCTTTACTCGCAATGATTGGACAACTCCAAACATGTGAGTCACACACATGCCTCGGTGAACACAAATGATCGGAAACGTTAAGGGAAGGTGGGAGATACATTGCAAGTGCGAAGAAGGCTGACTCACCTGCATGAGAAACTGCCCGCTGAGGGCCAGACTGAATACTTTGATTTTCCTCTCACGTGAGAAATAAGAATAAGTAAGACATGTGCAGCACTAGCTCTAAAATTTCTTGTTGTCAATAGCCCCTCAGTTAACCTTCTGAATTTTTGCCAGAGTGTAAATATGTGTAACCACGGGTGGATAGGTTGGGTCCCATGTTTCAGCAGCCCTTTGAGGTCCTGCTTCCCTTTTCTATATCCAGCCACGAGAGCTGATCAAGGCAGGGCCGAAGATGGACGAGCTGTGACTCCTTGTCCTATCCCTCAAGTCGCCTAAAGACACCTAAAGTCAACGAGGGGTAGCTACAGGTACTCTATGGTACTCTCAAGCTTCAAGAAGTGGGGGCTCCTCTGTTTAGTTCTGCACTCTACACAGGGGGAAACAATGACATCAACAACATGTTGCAGGTGAGAACAAAATTTCTCAATGGTGGCCCTGCCCGAAACTCTGTCTTTGCCGTCGGTAGTCTTGGAGAGACCACAATCAAGTGAGAAACCGAAGAAGACTTGATCATTGCATGAGAGTCTCGTGCTTGGCGAGACAGATTACCTGTGTTGACCACTTTGACAAAAAACATGGTGTTTTTCTCCAATTTGTATCGTTTGTCAATGTTTGTCATTTGCAAGGTCTTGCCACCCTTTCTCAGCACCATGGAAGAGGCGAAGGTGGGAGCATTAAAGCAAACACGAAACGCACACGAGTACACCGTGGCATCCTGGGCTTATGATGTGCCCATCTCACTCTGCCATTGGAGGTGCATGACCCCGACTTGACTGTGAGATATGCGCTGAGCGCCTTCGAGGAGAGGATGACAAATGGTGCAGCCGGCTGCAACGTCATCCATGACAGCTGGAAACTGTACGGTATGTAGGAATATCTAGGATATATATATATGGATATATGATATATTATGATATTATGTATATATATATAATATAATCATATACATTTAAGTTTCATAAGCAAAATGCTTCATATGCTTTGTTTGTTTTAGGGCATCCCGCTTCCAGGACCTGAATAGCGCCATCAAGAATTTGCGGAGATGTTTTGGTTTTCCGTACCAGGAATACATTGGGTCTGCTGCTCAAAGATGCTCAAAGTATACAGTTTGTTCAATACCTTGACAACATTTGACAAATTCCAATAGGTTCTGCGAACATATGCAAAGATTTTCCGGCTCCTGTCGTCTTTTGTCTTTGATGCTCATTTTCCGGTGCTTTGGCTCATGAACTAAGGTACATGAACACCTTAACTCATCAGTACCGAACTCGTAGTGAACACGAGGTCGGAAATGGCGGGTGGGTTCCAATCTATGCCAATCACTGATCTAACTAGCGAATGAAAGAAGTGGTTTCTTCCTGGATTCATGACCAGTGTTTTTCTCTCCTTGCTACAAGTATCTTGGATTCGCGGATGTATGTAGATGAATTATGCTGCAGCTAGGTTGATCGACTGATCGAATATGAACCAATGTCCCACCAAGTCACTAAGATTCACTGAGATTCACTATGTCATAGCAGATTGGCAGACTTGGCAGGGCCTCATCGACCGCATCCGTCGGTGGGCAATGTTTGGCAACGCCTTGGCCCTGGTGACCGCGTCTGCCTGCTGTTGCCTAGAAACGAAGACCGGAAGTGCCTTCCCCATCACATAAGATGATATAGATGGATATTAAATGATATTAAATGATATAGATTGGTATTGATTGATAATGTAATGTATAGGCTACATATGATATATCACGCAAATTGAGATAAGAGCGTAGAATTGCATTGCTTGTCATGCAATCGAGGTCGCGGGGCGTCTTGCCAAACAGTGAATCTTTTTTGTCAGTTTTGTGGTTAGCTTTTACTCAGGTTGATGCAGTGCTGTGGATCGACTATGCGAAGGCATCGATTCAAGCGTGAGACATTCTGGTTGGAATGTGCACAGTACAAAACATGTCAGTGGTTTGGATTTTGAATCTTGATGAAAGCAGTGCACTATATACTATATACCTGACTAGCATTGACTAACTATGATAAGAGGATATAAGAGGGTGAAAAGAAACATTTTGTCAATTCTCAAAAGATGCATTTTGTATCATTTTGTCCTCATCTTCAAACATTCTCATTCTCCTTTGAGTCATCCTTCGTCATCCTTCTCCCTTCGAGCTCTCGAGGCGAATCAGCCCCCTGGGTCTTTCAAGATGGGCCCGCGAGAATCGCGGCCCTTCGGCCCAGCACATCTACAGGCACAAATTCAGAGCTAAGAGGTTTTGACGTTTTGACCTCCATAAAATGTTGTAAGATGTTGTAAGATGTTGCAAGAGATCAAAAGAGAGTGGAAGCGAACAAAATCACCTTGACTCAAGTCAAAGTGGTTGCTACTCTCCTTGGTCGGCACCTTCCGATTCTTGCGCTGGTTGGGCTTTCCCAGCCGCTGAGCAAACTTCTGACTTGACAGATTTGCGCCGACGTTCCAGATGTGCTGCGTTTGGATGACGATGAGTCCGAGGCGCAAGGAATCCTTGGGGCCAAGTCCCGGTCATGGACGGTCCGCCGTGCGGGTAAGTAACTGTTTAGATCTGTTTAGTGTCCACGTTGTTAAGGCATAATTGAAATGAATACGCTGAATTTGGTATGCAAAACCAAAGTCTAATCGATTCCCAAAGTACCTCAGAGTTCTTTATAGCTTGTCAACAAGGCACTCGATTGTAGTGGTCGTGCGAGGCGGCGTGGAGCGAAGAAGAAAAGGAAGAGGAGAAACATGGCGTGGGGCCTCAGAGCCTTTGGAAGAAAAGAATGGACTATGTCATGATGAGTCATGACATGTCATGACTATGTTGGATGTGGGACTTTGGACAGTCTGCTGGTCTGGGGATGTCTGGGGCATCGTTTTTCTTTGTCACGTTGGAAGGCAAACAAGGCTTGGAACAAGACTTTATTGCAAACTGATCACTTGCTGTAGCAAAGAAGCATTTTTTCTTTTTTTCTGCGCATAATGTGAATAATTTGCACACTGTGAATATGCGCTTCAAGGTCATTCGACTGACGGAGCTCAGGCTGGCAGTTTGTTTTCGCAGATTCCAGGGGGAGGCTTTAACATTGTAGCTTTCCAATGCAGACGTTGCAAGCCAACTGTACAGGCCACCAATGTGGCAATTACGCCTCGTGAGTTGGGAGCCCCCAAGCAACTGTAGGACACTGGACACTTTAGGACACTGTAGGGATGTTTGATTCCTGGATTTTTTGGAAGTAGTAAGTGTGTGCATAGCTGCATAGCAGTATTTTTTGGTATCGTTCTTTGAGAAAGAGAGGGCAGAAGTTCGGCGTGCCTTATTCAAACTGACAATGTCTTGCAATGTCTTGCAATTTGAATGTGACAATATGTGACAATTCCATACAATTCCAAAGTTGGCAAGATCTGCCGAGGCCTGGAAGTCTCAGACCACTGCCAAAAAGGCAGAGGGCCATGTGGAAACGACATGAAACGACTGGTTCATGGTTCATAGATGTGGAGTCTGCTGCAACTGGCTAGAAAACATGGGTGATGAAGCTTGACTCCTTGGGAGTATTGCAGCATTTGCAAACTCACTTGTGCCTTCCTTCAAGCTGCAGGATCCCGAGAAGTATCCAACGAATGAAGCCATCCCATATGTCAAGAACCCAGCTGTAGCTCGCTCCTTTTCCCACTGCCCATCACTTCTAAGTGAGTCTAACTTCCAATCATACATCAACTTATACAACATTGCAGAGGTCCGCGAGAGTCTTTTCAAGGGTCTCATGGCTTCATAGAGATGCTGGAGATCGTTGAACATTAAGACACTTTGGGACTCCAGCTTTAAAGCAAAGTGCAAAGTGTACTAAGGCTGATGGAAGCGGTGAGCAGAGCAGCGCCTGGCATCTCAAACAGCGATAGATTTCGTCTGCGAATCTCATGGGACTGTTTTTAAATTTTACTCATGGGTTTGCTCCAAGGTCCCCGCCCGACAAGGAAGAGGCAAAGCCTGGGCCAAATGCAGGGGTAGCAAGGGCTGTGAAGCCATTCACATTGAGCTCTTGGGCCAGTTGGCAATCAACCAGTGCTATAGCTGCTATGGCTATGACTCCTTTGAGATCCTTTGAGCACCATTGATAGTTGAATGCAAATAGTAGATATATAATACTAGTAAGTATGATATTGACAAACTCACTCTTATACTATTGATTCAATATGATTCAACGATACTTCCGTGAAGAACTGCCCCCAATTGGAAATGGCGAGACGAAGCACTCAAGGCCACCATGTCTGTGAAAATCGCGGACGATGGTCACAACACCCCAGAGGAGGACCTGAACTTTACAGATCTACTGATGATCTACCGTATTCATCCGTATTCTTTACAGTATTCTTTACAGATCTAGAGAGATCTACAGTACTTCATTTATCTTCATTCCATTCTTGTACTGCAAAAACAGGAGGCACAATTGCAGTATTTCTGTAAGACTTGTAAGCAATACGGACCACAATGAATGGCTGCGATTTGTACGGATTCTCATCCCCGCAGTGCTGCTTCAAATCTTCAAATACTCCTTTTTTTCCACCTTGTGAACTGAGAACTGGGGACAGCAGTCTGTCTTGCCAGGACAAGATCACTTCGAAGGCCAAGGCTGCTCCAGTTCCGCAGTATCCCTCAACCAAAGGGTTTCTGGGTTCACAAGTCACAAGTCAGGTTTTCTCTTCCAGATTCTGCCTAAACATTTCCACACAACTTCTGTGTAACCTCCCGAGATTCGTCAGAAACTTCGCTGCGGACTTGGCAGCACGTTAGGCGGAGCGCGACATGCTCCGGCTGCAGCTGCAAGAGGAGGTCGTTCCTGTGCCAGGCCACAATGCCGCAATGCCCCGCCTGAGGGGCTCCTAGCCTCGTCAAAAATGGTCACAGATTGTCAGAGCGGTGTAGATACACACATGCTGTGAATAGCGACATATCGAATCATATCGACACCCCTCAACACATCACATGTAGAATCTGGATATGTTCGTAGCGCGTAACTTCCATTTGGCGCTTTCCATGTCACCCAGCATCACTCTGTGAATCGAGTTATGGCTTCAACGGACAGGCAGCATCTACTGCCGCTCCATTGTACCAGGACCAGGCGCTGCTCTCGTGGCTATTTCAACGCTCAGCGAGTAGAAAGTTTGAAACCAGCCAAGGAATCATGAGAATATTGTGGTTGTCTCGTTCATTGTTTGTTCCACTATTCATGTGAAGTCTAGTCATGCTCCTAGGGTCCTAGGCTCCTGTGTGAAAATGGAATAATTAAGGAGGCGTTGTCCACAGGTGTCTTTTGCCATAGATGTTGCCTGGATGCAGCCTGTCTTGTGACTGCCAACAGGTTACTACCGAGTTCCCAAGTCCTTTGGAGAAGTTAAAAAGGCCTGCAAATTGACAGCTTGTCATTGTTCACGTGTTCCTTCTTCAGAGAACCCCAACACAAGGGAATGATTTGAAGTCATTGTGTGGAACTTGAACGCAGGGCAATTCAAGTGAGTCGTGATTTGCAGCTGATCAGGATGGCACACCCAGCCTAAGTGGAAAGCTTGCTTCTTAGTGGTCGATGAGTCAGACAAGGTTCAGCACTCCTCTTGTGCTGCATGGAACCAGAAGTACAGGAGGTATTTTTAGGAACCAGAAGTGCTTTCCATGGTCTTTCTAGTGAAAACAGGATTGGCCCTCCTCACCGAAGCTTCAGGAACATTTACCATTTGATCAGAATTGGCTAGCTGCTCATGGTGCTGGGTACTAAGGGGTGTCAGCGCATGGGATCAACTCAGACTGAAAGCTCAGTGGTTGCACCTTGGATGCAGTTGACAGGCCATTTGGTTATGTTGCCCGAGCATGAACCATCTTGGAGAACAGGGAACTTTGATGGAATTTCTTGGGACTTGGTTTGCGTGAGAGCTGCAGTGGTTGCCAGTCGTTGTCACGTCGTCTCATTAGTGAGACTTTCGGTGCTTGATCGATATGGGCAAATGAAAAACAGAGCGAAGTATCTGAGACTGAGGCCTGGCCCAGGCCAGTATGAGGCGCATCCTGCATGGAGACAGAAACGCGACAGTGTGTGTGTGTGTGTTTCTGGTCTTGATATTTGCAAGCCTTAAGCAGAATTGCATGAGCTCAAGGAAATTCTATGGCATGGCAACATGGCCAAAGCTTTCATTCTAGCTGCATTATGATTGGCATTGTACAGCGTATTGGACCTTGCCAAACCAATATGCTTCCCACGTTCGATGCTTCATGCCTGCTACCAGAACCAACCTGGCATGACTGAAGAGAAGTTTTTCAAGCCCAAGCGAGAGCCTCTGGAATTAGGCATTTGCCAGCAAATGCATGACTCAGACATACTCAGACTGTGTCTCATGTAAGACTTAAATAATGTAAGATTCTGGAAGTCAGTAAATAAGATATGTGAGGAAAATAAAAACGCTTGCTGACTCCAAGATGTTCTCAGCAAGACAAGGCTATCGGTTTCTTTTCAAGTAAGCAACCCCTTTGGTGTCGAATCTAGTCCACTCGAGAAAACTCTAGACCTGAAGACTGGAGAGCTGGAATGAAAAATCAAGCCGAGCTCTGGATGTTGCAGGGCAAGCCCCTGACTAGGATCACTAGACATGACTGCTTACTGTTACCATTTGTTACCTACATCCCCCTGAGGAAGGGAAGTTTCAACAAGGCACCAAAGCTGGTAGACAATCAGGACAACAAATCTGGGATGCATTGTGATGGTGTTGCTTTCACACGTTTCGCTGGCTTTTCGTTCTGCGCTTTTCTCATTATCCTTCTCAGAGACAGATGAAACAGCTGTTGGCATTCCTTTCTCTCCCTCTCAACGTGCGCCTAGTGCATCTTGCACCGCCAGTTTGTGACGGTGCCAGCAGTCAGCTTGAGGGAACTTTCTAATTTGTCATACTCACGTGCGCTCGATAAGCAAGACTTGAAGAAACCCCTCTTGCCAACGGCCAGGAAACCTTCAAGAAGTTGCCCTTCATCTCCAAGCTGGCTTCCTCATGCGAGGCGTGGTTCTTGTAGGTCGACATGTGTATCTTGTCTGTTTCTAGACACATTCCAGAGACTATAAATGAATATAACATAATAGGATAAAAAATATTGAATACAATTATACATATATAAATATCAAAGATCAATCATATATATATATATATATTACATAAATATTAAATTAAGTATACATATTAAATACATATATTGAATATACACATTGAATATAATTTTCACGTAAGACTTACGTTAAGTGAAGATGACATGAAGTGACCATGGCAATTCGGCAGGGATTTGGTTTGAGCTCTGACTCCTTCAATTGCGTTGATCCCAAAGAGTCAAAGCCTGAGATATCTGAGATGCAGCGGTCGGCACCCGATGGTACAAACGATATCAAGTTCTCAAGATGGACGTAGTTTTTTTTTGTGTGGTGAGATTGGTTAGATTATTGGTGTTTTGGTGAGATTTAAAGAGGCTTTTCTTTGTTGTGGGATCTTTCTTCATGACTGCACGACTCAGGTCTCTCCCGCATCACTCCAGAGAGCCTGCGCATGTGCCTGAGAGTTACCTTTACGAAAGTGCAAAAAACTAGAACGGAAACATATATATATACATATATATAATATATAATATATAATATATATATAATATATATAATATAATATATATATATAATATATATATATATACACAGTATATATATATATGTATATATAACAACTCTGGTCTTTGACACATTTTAGAACCTACTTTTGTATGGATGGTTCTGTGGCTGGCACAGTTGCCAAGGTATTCTTTCGGTCGAACTCGGCGTCCTTTTTAATCTGACTCAGCGCCCGTAGCTTGTATTGTTGCTTTGAAACCCTGCTCGGATGTCAAGATGCCGTTTCCTCATAAACATGTGATGAATATGTGTATTCACGGATGTTACATGTGTATATATATATATATTAATATATATTAATATATACATATATAATATCTATATTTCAATAGTGAATATCAAACACTATTTCTGTGTCATATTTGTATTTGTGATTGGAACCCTTTACACATCCTGACATCCCAGAGCCATCACCCTGGAGCAGAGTCAACCACCTCTGGTGGCGGGAATCCGTGGTAGCCTACGACGCCTTCAAGGTGTCAATAGTGGGTCTTCCGTGTCGTCCATGGGAGCCTCAAAATGAAGCTCTTCTCAGCGCGATCAAAATGGCTGTGCCTGCGAAGACTAGAGGCAACTGTCCTCCTGGTTCAAAGTATAAAGAGGCTTGGTGTTCACATAAACCATTTCTGAGAAATCAACGCAGATTGTGATGTGCTGATGTCATGTGTGTAGGTAAGTAGATTCTTCAGAGACATGGTGGTTACGGTGGTGAGTGAACCTCGGATGTTCATCTAGCCTGACACTAGGACCCTTGCGCACCGCCGGTCATGACCCCAGATTTTTGGGTTGAGAGTGACCGATGGGACATGATATTTCCCAGTCACCAAGAACCACCATGCCGCTGTGCACTGTCATGTACATAAATTGATTTGAACCAATCATACGAACGCAGCTGCATTGAGCTAATGGACTTGGGCTTCTAACGTGGCCAGACATCTATTGCACGACGTTGTTTCATGTTGTTTCCCCCAGGGGCTTGATTTTTTTCATTTCCGAGAGGTCTTTGACAGACCTTTGCGTCGGAAACCAAGTTCCATCATTGCTTTGCGCAGTTTTTTTTGATGTTTTCATGTCTAGCTAGCAGTCTAGCAGTCTAGCAGTCTAGCAGGCTCATAATTTTCTCTTTTGGATTTACCATTTGATGGAGGTCCAGCGGGATCATGGGCTAGTGAGGTCTTTTTGGATGCATGGGCTTCAGTGGCCAAGCGTGGTGCAAAGGCATGCCACATTGTGTCGTTGGTGTTCTCGCTGGCGCTGGCATCTCTAGCATGAAGATTCCCAGAAGATGCCACAAAAGTAGCCCAGAAAATAGAAAATGTCAAACATCTGCACCAGGACCAAAACTCACCGCACCAAGAGTCACTGCAGATGCCTGATTAGACTTTTGAAACTGTGTGACAAGTCTGGAATTTGGTTCTTTCAACATCTTTCAACTTTGTTTCTTCAATGTTGTGCTCGTTTGGGAGGCAAAGGAGTCCCTGCAGCTGCTGTCCTGGAGTCAAGGCCCGCCGGAGTCAGGAAGTTGCAGGAGGAACTGAGGAAATGAAGTGCAGAGTACAGGGCGGAATTTGGGGTCGGTCTTGTCATTGCCTACAGAATCTCTAAAGTTCAAAGAGACGGATTGGTATTTTCCTTCTGTTTGGTTGATACCTAGTAACACAATGCCACGACACAGACTGCCAGATCGTGTGTTGCGCCGCTCCGTCTTTGCATGCTGGAGCTCAGAGACAATGCGGTTGCAGTACAGGGCTCAATTGGCAGTAGAAGCTGACTGGACTGAACGAAAGGCATTTCGCCCAGAGAACACTTTTAGAGTAGATGACTCAAAACAGGTTGCTCTTGGTTTCCACATACAGCGCATCAGCCTATTCAGTTGGAAGGTGCTTGTTGCCAGCCTTTCTGATTCATTGATGCCATCCGTCAAACTGCCAATGCAACTTTTTGCCACTTGTGTACAGTGTAGAACTATTGAGGCGTGATAGGCGGCTCACCGAATTGATACAGCGAAAGAAAGGAGCACTCCCTGCAATCTTCAAATATCAGACGCAGTTCTCTGTTTGGGAGATTGCAAGAAGCCTTTGCATGTTGAAAGACACATTCTACTCAGTATTCTACTGGTATATCTTTCCATATCTTGATTGCATTCGTGCAATCACAGGTGGAGCACTTGAATGAAACTGGGCATCATAACAGCCTGGCAGGATCAGTTCACCTGGCCTTTGACCACTGGCGATCAGAAGCGTCAAGACTTGGGCCGGGATCCGAGAATCCCTAGAATCCTAGAGCTCGTTGGAAAGATGCTGGAGGATCCTGGCCTTTGAATTACAATGTTTTATTTCTTTGCAAGTATGGAGACATCAGAGTGCTGCAATCACATGCTGTAGATTTTCTGAATCCGGATGGAGATGTCAGATGTAGAAAATCAGTGACCGGAAAACCAGCCTTACAAAGTCTCTTTTCCTTCCAGTCATGCTTGTGTCGCGATGCCTGCGAAACGGCCTCCCTTGACCGAAAGGCGTGAAAAGAAACTGATGTGTGCGATTGCTTCAGGGACAAGAGGAGGCGAGGAGGCTGTAGTATACTGTATACTTGTTGCCTTGTGAGGATTGGCAGTATTTGAAAACACTTGCGTAGCATCGACTTGCTGTCCATGCTGTCTTCTTGTTTGGTTGTCGAACGATCGTAAGTGAAGAGTGACCATGGAATGCGCGAATGCGGACGCGCAGAGTTTCGGGATGCACTGCCTGCAAGGGTGGTCGCTGCAGAAGGAAGCATTTAGTCGCTGGTCGAGCTGCTTGAGGGTTGCGACAGCTCGACGTCGGCGCCGTCCTTAGCGCTGCTGAGGAAGCATTTTGCAATCAAGTTTTTTTCTTTTTTTAAAGCTGTTGTTTGATGCATGCTCAGACTGTAGAATCAGTTGCAAAATTCAAAGACAATGCTGTCCTTTCCTTCGCTTTTAGGGGTGTGATCAGGCTTCGGCAGAAGCTGATGCATGCAGTTGCTCGCTGGATTCAGCAAGGAAGAAAACTGTTTGCTTCAATTTGTGAGTTCCACTAGAACTCAAGCTGGTTTGTGTAGCCAAACTACTGGCCGCATTCTATGTTTGGCAGCGAGAACACCACTGCTGGAATAGCTGCAAAGGAGGGAGGTCTGTTTGCATGCCACAGCATGCCACAGCATGCCAGGACAACCCATGCACAAGGCAGTGTTTGCCTGCTGGAGAATCGAGACTTCAAGACAGCGGTCCAGTTCTCAGAATAGTCATTGAATAGTCTATTGGATTCTATTCTATCCTATCCTACCATGTCCTATTCTATTCTGTTCTGTTTTGTTCTTTTCAGTTCTGTTCTGTTCTGTTTTTTGCGGTTTTGCTGGTGAGCTTGCATTTGGATTGCAGCCATCCAGCTGCAGTTAAAGGCTTGGAAAGCGCATGCTATCCGCACTTGATCGCCAAACCCAAACAGGCGGCTGGGAGCCGGATAAAGCGGCAGGGTCTTGTTGACCATTTTTATTGGCCATGTACATCATGTACCCATTAAACTGCGAGGATAGCAGGCCAGGTCGCGAGTGGTTTGATGGCTCGTTGGAGCAACAACGTAGGAATTGCTGAGGATGTAGCAGCTTGGTTCGGAATAAGTCGGGTCCTTGGTAGACTAAGTAAGGTGTAAAAAGTCGCCTTGTTCAACCTTGCTTTCTTAATCTTTGGGAGCCGAAATCGCAGGAGAGTCGATACACAAAGCTGCGTTTACATCCTGGAGGGCAGAGACTTCTTCTACCAGGTCTGAGCAGGGCACACCATAAGTTGCAAGTCACAGTGTCTTGTGTGCATTCCATACCCTTCCAGCCAGTTTAGGATGCTGACAGTTGAAATGACTTATTTATTTGATAGATATCTGATACTGTGCACGATTGACATCAATCAATTACAAGTGTTATCATGTATCTGATACATCCGATTCGAAAGCCTTGATGTTGCCCCGCCACCGCTGTAGCTCAATCTCCAAGCCAAAGCACAGGCATCGCCAACAGCTCCTCGACGCAGTTGGTGGTTGGATCGAAGCAGATCAGAGTGCAGGTGGGAAATGACTGGACACTCTGGGCCTGGTCGGACCTGGTCAAAGAATGTCAAAGATCCGATCGGACCATGATGTTTTGGACGATCCACCAGTGCTATCCAGTGCTAAGACAAGGATGCGTACCTTGCTGCCGGCATTTGCCGTTTGAGCAGGTCTGGTTTTGTGGACATTCAAAGAATGGCGGCAAATACTTTCTGGAGATGGCCTGGCACTTGTGGAAGCAAAGAGAGCAGTTCTTGAGCCTGTCCGTGCAGCAACTTGTTTGGATCATTGGAAAGTGCGTAGCGGCGTAGCAACTCAATAGCTACTTTGTTAATCTTTGTTACGCCTGAGGTCATGTCCAGGTGTCATGCTGAGATTGCAAGGAGTTGAATACTGTCAGTGATTGACATGTGACTTGAGATGGTTAAAAGTGTGACCTCATGTCGCCTCGTTGATGCCAAGCATGTGCAAGATCAGATCGTGAAACATTTCCTGACTTCAGCGCTTTCAGGCAATGGCAATGACCCAGAAACACGAGAACTCGAAGGTGCACTCAGTGTGCAGCTCCCCTACAGTTGCTTTGGTGAAAGGGCTGAAATGTTCCATACCAAAGTGACCTTTCAAGCATGTACGCGAGCAGCAAGGCAGCATCGAAGCTAATTTGATACTTTCGAACAACTTCTTATGCGTTGCTACATTTTGATTGTTCGAAGGAGCGAATGGGAGACCACTTCTTCGCCTGGAAGTCTGCAACGCTGAGGACTCACCGTCTGCCTTCGGATAGATTCAGTTGATTTCAGTTGCAGAATCTTGACATTTGAAACACGCACTGGAATTCAGATTGTCCCCCGGCCCACAGCATACAAACATAGCACCAACATGATGCAGCGATGCACTTCCATTTTTAAGAGAGTCGATATCTGGAGAGAAGGGTTTAGTGCCTTACAACCGAACTCAATCACTGTGAACTGCTTCGGGTGCTTGCAATGCGTAGTGACACCAGACACACTCGCACAGGTTGCAATGATTTGGCACAAGTTGGCCTCACTCCAGGAGTCTTCAGATTGAACTCCGTGGTGCGAGAGTTTCGGAGGCAAGCTGGAAGCAATCAGCCACGATCCTCTCTGCAAGAGTCTCGGAGTTGCACACGGAGACAGAATGCCAAGGAATGCCAAGAGTTTTCGAAAGTCATTGAGAATATTGAGATATGCGTCAGAATGTGTCAGACAACGTCAGATATTGTCAGATCTTTTAAGGATGTTCGTTTCAAGTCCAAGCAAGTCGAAAAAGAAGCGAGGTCTTCCGTGGATGGAATTACTTTGCTCGGCGATCTGCGTCCCGGCCTCAGCACTCTGATTACAGCATGAGCCAAGCAACGATTCACCCTATGCACATCCACATCATCCGTGGAGATCCCAAGCAAATTGAGCAGCGTTCAAAACCCTTAGAGGGCTTCGCTTAGGCTTAGACTGGGTAGTACCCGCGAAAGCTAAAACCCAGCTTGCGAGAGCTGGGCGAAAGCTTCGCGAAGACCAAGTTGACAGACACCGTCGCGAAATCTTCGCGAAAGTGGCCGATTGGCCGATTTTAGTAGCGAAACATTGTAAATTGTCGCATGTTAGACCAAATACGGCGCAAGCTCAGCGAAAGCAATTTTGTCAAATGTTCACCACGCGAAAGCCGGGAGTGTGGCCGCGAAAGCACTGCGAAAACACATGCGAAAGCACCATGAGAGTATAATGAAATACCAGAAGGGTTTTGAACACCGCTCAATTGAGCAAATTTACTTTAACATACTTTAACTATCTTTAACTATGAAGGTGCACGACTTTGGGACCTTTGGGACCTTTGGGATCATTTAGATTTAGATTCAACTGCAGGCGAATCAAAGTCAGCCTGTCCGCTGGCATCTTTGCATTCCAAAGACTGGTGCTGGGTTGCGGACTCAGATCCAATTGCTTCCCTCTGATAGAGACGCGAAGTCTACGATAGTCTATGCTTAATAATGCTTAATAGATCTCTGAGAAACTCTGATGACCATTGCTTTCTATCTCAAGCAGTGGCCAAACAGCAAAGCACCTCACAGTGTTGCACTGGCAGGTGCCTGGAAGGTAGTGGTATCAGCCCGCCCAGGCAACGCAGCCGGGCAGGGCGGGTCCCATTTGTCAACCGTTTTGGGCGGCTTGAATAAGCAAATGGATGCAAATGGAATGTGCCTTAAAGATCCTCGGCCAGTATCTCTAGACCCACTACATATAGTCTTTTCAGGAAAGGATTTCTAATTCCAAAAACAAGTGTGGAATGTGTAGGGCTGGCAGAAATCAATGATTTGTGCACTGCTGCACTCGCTGCTCAAAGTGCCACGTGTTGAACGTCCAACAAGCGGCGGCCTGGAGCTCAGTTGTAGCGCACGCGTGAAGCAATTTTAGGGTTGCCGTGACGCCAAGGTGATGGCACTTGGAGCTACTTTAGCCTGTCACTCCGACCTATTTCCCACCAAACATCTTGAAATATTTGCAACTACTGAATATGAGAATAGAAAATGATAGAAAACACACATGAAAACAACACATTCAAATAATTCAAGACCGTTCAAACTAAGATAAAAGAGGCACAGAGGTCAGGTCCGGACTCCAGCACATTGTACCGAAGCACAGCCATGATGATCAGCCAGCTTTCGCCAGGGCTTCTGGCAATAGGGGCCTCGGGTTTCGGCCAACAGTCTGGGACTCAGGTGACAGCAAAACCATCCAAAACACATCAGAGAGGTGACATATGACGCATGTGCCGCATGAGACATGAAAATCTGCCGTTGATTGCCTGCTTGTCATTTATCCCCTCCAGATCCACTTCTGTTCTACGGGCATATGACGTTTGATGTAGACCTTGTGCTCAAGTGTGACTTCGCCCAGCCGCAGCGGAATATGCGGCTATTCTGTGGCCTTTGCCTTGCCGCACTAGATCTGGTGCTTGCCAAACCCGAACCTGTCAAGCAGCTTGACTTGGAGAGCTTTCTCGGAAGGTGGTATCAAACTTATGGCAGCTTCAGCGTGAAGTATGCCACTGAACTTGGAGCCAACTGTGTTTTTGTCGACTACAGCAAGTCGCAGGGTGCTGTTGCCTTAACCAATTCTGTGAGTGTCCTGGGGTTCCGCTTCAGTGTACAAGGATTCGCCGTGCCAAGTCCAAATGAGACTGGGGTGTTTGATGTGTCACTAGGACCATCACGCTTGGCTCCTCGACATCCTAAACCGTTTCAAAGTCCGAACTATGTGATTGTTGCGTTAGGCCCAAAGTACGAGGGGAAGTACGAATACGCAGTTGTGACTGATCCAACCTTCTTGTCCCTGTACATTCTCACACGTGATGTTGGCCGCTTTGTCAATTTCGAGCAAGAGCTACTTGAGAAAGTCGCAGAGATGGGTTTCAATTCCTTTCTCAACAAACCTCGCAAGACAAATCAGCACGGCTGCAAATATCCTTTACCAACTGGAAAGATTCTTGAACTTGTTTGACGGACTTGGACAGAAGACATGCCATAGATCTCTCGCAGTACAGTAGCACAAACCTCTTGCTGCGCTACAGCTCTAGTTTAACATTGACATGTGCAAAAAGGCATACTCCTGTTGCGACTGCCAGTCTTAGGATGTCTTTGACTTTCGAAGTATTCGAAGTGGACTTTGCAGTATCTCCCAAGACTTTTTTGCGGGCGGTATGCTTTTCCTTTTCTCTTGCTGTCAAAAGTGGTCAGACTCAGGCGCTGGATTATCAAGAATGGCTACTTGAAATACAAACAAAGTCCGCAGTACTGTGCGAGTTTGCTTTGCCCTCAGCATCCCTCTCGGGCAAGCCGCAGAAAGGTAGAAATGTCCAGAACATGCCGCAGGTCCCTTATCAGTTTTTGCTTGTCTCCACAAAACACAAATACGGAATAGTTATGAATGGTCAGTAGGTTTGTTCCCTGAGACTTTCCTCAGCAAATCCCAGAAAACTGATCTCCGTTGACAAGTGACGGTGGTAATGATCAAGTGGCCAAAACTTCCTGAGGCGCGAAGGAAAGGTAAGCAACGGCACCTTGGCATGGCAAATTGAGTCCACATTGCTGTCTAGTTTCATGGCACTTTTCACTACAGGGGAAACTGAATGGAATTCCTTATGGTTGTTGGAACATCTTGGAACATCTTGGAGCATCTTGGAACTAAGGAGTGGATATCATCCTGTGGCACTGCGTCCGGCATCTCAGGGCTGGTTTTTTCACTTGGAAGTTCCGGCTTTGGCATGGCCAAGGCGGCCACCTGCCGGAAATGGAGAGTAGTATATCTGCATGCATCTTGATGTATGACAATTTGACAGCCTCAGCTGCCGTGAATTGAAGCCATGGAAGAAGCAAAGGGTGCATTTCGAAGTGATGCTGAGACCAAAGACGCAGAGCACAAGTTCAAAGCCTTGGCCTAAATGGGCCTAAGATATCTTGGTTTGAGTGGTATTTCCGTAGGACTCGTGAGGATGCGGACGGTCAATTTGCAATGGCAATTTTGAAACACATCATCTGATCATCATCTCTTCTCTTTCTTATCTTTTCGTTTTTACTTGTGGCAGAGCGCTGTGTGTACATGATGAAGTTCATGCAGGCAACAGTCTGGGTGTATTTCTGATCCTGATGTCTCTGACTCTGACTCCAATCATCAATAGCGGTGGCTGCTTTGAGAAACACTTTGTCACTTTGTCATGTTGCTCATCAGCAAACCCGCAACTGAAAGGTAAATGGGGCCTACATCCAGTATGAGGCTGGAAGAGGGTGCAAGCAAGTGATAAGCCATGTGCACCTGATACAAACTTCCAAGACACTAGCCTAGCAAGCTTTTCCATGTACCATCCAAAAAAAACAAAGACACGAGTCTGACAGTCTTAATAGCTCGCCACGTCTCCCCTCGAGTTGTCATGAAACAGCCGGCATTTGGAGAATTTGTTTCGTGTGGACTTAGACTGCTGATGCTCAGATTTGGTCCAGAAAATCAGGCAGATCCATCCTATTGTGTCAGTGTACGGGAAGGACGTGTGCTGGGCTTAGAGCAGATTGCAGGGATGACGATGGATGACAAGGAGGACCCAGCCGGAGAAAGTGAAACAAACAATACAGCAGGCAATGTATACTTCCAGAATCTTGTAGAATAAATGCTCAGATTAGTTGAGTGAGCCAGGAATAGCTATATAGATCAGTAAAGTATGCTAGAACAAAGGTGGAGAAACACAATGAAATTCAAACACACACACACACATACACAATGTCAGCGGTCTGTTGCTTGGAGCTCGAAGTTGCAGAGTCAGCAGAGATGACAGAGATGAGATGAGTCTATTTTGCCCCTGCTATTTTTTTTCCGAGGCTGGTGATGGAAGCGACATCATTCTCTGGAAGTGCAATGACTCTCCAGCCTTTCACTGGGTCCACCGGCCCCGTTTGCTCATTGGTCACGTCCCTCTCCTTCTGTTTTCTCTGGCGTTGCCATCCGATGCTTCATGACTATTCAGAATCTGTTTGAGAATCTCAGAGGCCAAGGCACGGCAGAAAGCCCCCTCTACCTCTTCATGCTAGGAAGTAGACGGGGAGTTCATCAAGTACAAAGCAAAGCCAAGCTACGTCATGAGTGTGTGTTGGCCTTGGTCACTCGCGGTTCACGGCATTTCAGATTTGGATCGAAAGTGTCTTTGACTGCTTCTATCATTCTAGCATGTTCTATTCTCGTGTTCTGCTTCTCTCATCCGAGAGTCCCCCCACATATTCAAGGCGTCAAGACAATCCCATGGACGGCGCTGACTTGATTCTCTGGCGCGGTGTCAGGGCCCTGTGCACAACAATCACAGCATCGGTGGATATCTAAGCTACATCGTAGTTCATCGTAGGTTCTCTCCAACACTATCTTCTGTTTTGTTTCTTTACCCACGCAGTTTTCTTTCACACCCTGTGTCCGAGTGTCCTCTTCAAGCGGAGAAAGAGTCCGACCTCGTAATTCCATCATGTTTCACCCACTTCATTGACTCTCATGGTTCTGGTTCTTTTCTTCCAGAATCTCTATTCAATTTGGAGGAAATTGTTGGACAAACTCTCATGATTCTGGTTCTTTTCTTCCAGAATCTCTATTCAATTTGGAAGAAATTGTTGGACAAACTCTCATGATTCTGGTTCTTTTCTTCCAGAATCTCTATTCAATTTGGAGGAAATTGTTGGACACGTACAGGGCAGCTACATGTTTTTTTTTCTAAAGAAACTTGAAATCAACATTTCCAAATTGCACATCGGAATCACTTGTCCATTATACTGTATACTGAGTATACTGCACTATTTCCTCAGAAAAGCGTGCAAGAAATGCATGAAATCGCAGCCTGCCTGGCCTGCCTCAATCCTCACGTCGGTCTCCCAGGCGGGGATGAACGACAAGTGGACCTTCGACGGCCAGGATCCCA